TTGGATCCCGGTTTTATTAATTTGTGAGACAGAGAAAGTCTTTGCAAAGAAGATGCTACAGTGTTTAAAAGATGACAATGACTATCGCTTGGCCTGCTATTCTGTTTTAGAAAAGGAAATAATAGAAAATACACATTTTTTCGTACATAATCTCATCATCTGAGCTCTTCTGAATGTTGTGTAGCTAACAAAATATGCCTTTAAATTCTCTGAAGAAAACTAATGGCCAAAAAGATACTTCATCACACTTTGTATTTAGAAAACATGCCCTTATAGAGATGCCATATCAAGAGACACAGTGGTTAGAATGCAGTGTTGTAAGCTGACTCTGCCCACATCCAGGAGTTCGATTCTGATCAACTCAAGGTTGACTCAGCCTTCCATCCTTCCAAGGTGGGTAAGATGAGGACCCAGGTTGCTGTGGGCAAAATGCTGACATTGTAAACAGCTCAGAGAGTGCTGTAAAGCACTAATGAGTGGTATATCAGTCTAAATGCTGTATTTATAGATTTTGGATTGGACACCCTATCCAAGCTTCTCCAATTTCTGACAAGCATGACTGAGTAACACATAGATTATGAGCAACCATGGAGGAGATGTGGAGAAGCATGGTAATCCAAATAATCTCATGGAATTCTCTTTCAGTTTTGTAAACTTGCATTTGAGGATATAGGATTGTATATAGTTGATACCATTTTGCTGATGAAATGCTCATTAATCTGGAAACTTAAATCAGTGGAACAAAAGAAAGATGTTCTTATGTATGTTAATTCTCACTGCATTTTCCCATGCTGATCAAAATAGGGCTGTAAAGGGGTGAAGTGTTCCCTTCTTCATACCACTGATGAAACCCTCCACTAGATCAAAAAAAGCATTCAGTCTGCTAAATTAACACCTGCTGGATACAAACAATAATCTTTGAAGCTCTCTTTATTTGTTTAAGCTATAGATGTTCCATTTCAAAAACAGAAGTAAAGTCAGCTAAATTAATGGACATGCAAAATGCATAACTTTTTTAAAAGGAAGAAGGCATAGTTTGGGAGGGGGCACAAATGTTTTTATGGTCAAATAATCATGTTGCAACTGAGTTCTGTCTTCAGCATTTTTGAAGACAAAGTAGATACTGTATTGAGACAACAAAATCAAGTCCTCTAACATGTTGGATACTATTCAAATAAAGTCTAAGATAAACTTATATAGGGTAGTTTCAAATGTGAAGTGTGGTTTCAAATTATTTTATAACTTTGCTGTTTAATTTCAGGCCAATAAAATTTCCAGTTTTGTTTATAAAGTTTATTGTATAGTAGATGAATAACCATTGTGCTGAAGAATCACTGCATGCAAGTGTGTGTGTGTGTGTGCGCGCGTGCGCGCACTATTATTTTCTAGCTTTTTCTATTGTTGTCATCGTCCTCATTTTGCTGCTGTAATCCATTTGATCGTGGATGCCAGAGTTGAGTGGTTGTGTCTCAAACATGCTTCTCTGCTACAAGAGCAATAATAAGCTTATAATTAGTAATTAAAATTGTTTGGAACCATAAGTATAACTAAGTCTGTTCAAGTATACATCATCCAACTCTTTCAGGCAAAGTCACTGGTTTTTTTACAGGAATAAAAGAGGAACATGTCTGTGCCAGGCTAGCTCATGCTCATGGGGTTTGCAACCACATTAATTTCGTACAGATACATGTAATTTTGAAATCACCTTTTAAAGTTGAAACATCTTCAATGTGTTCCAACATTGTAATGGCATCCAGCGCAAAGAGTACTGAGTATGGGAACAATTCCTCATACTTATTTATGCTGCTAGGTCTAGATCTTTCCCTCATTGGACTTTACCCAGCAGAATGGGACAACTCGCCATGGCTAACGTGCTATGGCAAATTCACTGTTGCCAAATTGCCATGGCCAATTCGCCTCAGCCAACTCACCATGGAACAACTCGCAGCAACCATTTCTCTGCGGGACAACTCACCATGAGAACAATTCAACATTTTTATTTAATTATTTAAAATGATTATTTTTTTAAAAAAAAATTGTCATTCACATTTCCTTTTGTCTTTCCTTTTGCATCCTTTCTTCAATGATTCTATTTCACCATTTCTTTGATATTTTGTAACTTTTGTCCCACGGAAAGTTATCCCACTTGCAAGTTGGCTGTGGTAAATTATCCTGTAGCGAGTTGATCTCAGTAAGTTGGCTGTGGCGAGTTGTCCTAGATCCTCACCCAGTGCCTGCGCTTGATGGTGTAGTTGTGATATTTGCCACATTGAAAGCTTATTAATCCTAGAAAAACAGCAGCTAATGAGCTAGTCTGTTTTCTGTGATACATTGGATCAATGCTACTTGTTTTTGACAGTTTGCTTGAAAAGGAGAAGAAGCGTATTACAGGTTCCTCACTCTTCCCCAGTTACCATAAAGAAAAACAGTCCATATTTGTATCCTGTGTCCATTTACTGATTATATTTTTTTTAAAAAAATGTATGGAGCCGTTTAAAGAAAAAGCTGTGCTTTGATTTATTTAGCTAACAAAACATACGCTTGCTGTTCCATTATATGCAATTTATATGATCAATAAAATTATTTTTTTTAAAAAGAGCAACTTTGGCATGTAAAGAGATTATACTGATGCTGAGGGAATATGATTGTTGCAATCTAACTTCTGTGCTACTCGCCAAAAATACTCTTTGGGGCTCAGTAATGCAATAATAATACACAATCTGCATTCCCCTCCTCCCCCATTTTAGGATAGAAGCGGTGCACTGCGGCTGTTACCCCCTCTGTCCGAATGCTTTGGTCTATCCAGAAATATTTCCAGGTAGTGTCCTATCTGTACTTTCATTTCCCCCGCCTTTTTCTTTTTAGGGGAGAAGTGTTTTAATTTATAATTAATTTGAAAATACAAAGTTTGAGTATAAACTTAAGCAAGAGCAATTGTTTATTTGGCAAGCTACCATGTTAGCGCTAAGGAATTTTTTAATGTGTTTTAATACATTAGACGAAGTTTATATTTACCATCTGTTCTTTCAAGATAACACAAAAGCTAGTTTTGAAATAGCATTCTTCATTGTTAGTATACACAGCCTATAATGATAGATTTTATTAAAAAGGTCGCTTTATGTATGATAGCTTGTAGATTTTTTTTTCTTTTTAATAATATTTGAGAGGGGAAAAATAGGCCTGAAAAATTATACCAAATTATTTTAAACAATTTAATACTTAATAGTATGCAGTCCTGCTATGGGGTAACACTAATGTAGTACCAATTTTTTGAAAAAAAAAAATCTCATCACTAAATGTCTCATATATGCATTGTGTTACATTAATATAATGTATTTTAATCACCCAAAGGAGATGTCTAAACAGCACAACTACATAGCCTTATTTAGCATTAAACATCTTTGTGAGCTGAGGTAACCTTATAAAATCATGCTTAAATAATGTAAAACATGAGGCGGCACAGAGCAATATGCATTTTTAATTAGTAAAGTGACTAATATCGAGTGTGTGCTTTGAGGTTTTTGTTTCATTAAAAATGTATCTGTTTTTCCTGCAGCTGAATATCTGTATTCTACACCTGAACAGCTTATTAAAAGGCTTCAGAATTTCTGCAAGAGACCAGAGATTGTAAGGAAACATCTCTATAAGGTATTTATTCAGAGCAAGCAACATGATGCTGTCTTTGGCTTAGTGGAAAAAAGCAGAACCCACCCAACCTTCCTTCCAAAACAAGGAGAAAAAACAACAACAACGAAACATTTAATTAACATCCTACTGTTTAAAGGAAACATGCTATGGAGGGATATTAGTTGTTATACTAACAAGGATTAATTACACTGGATGCCACTTTTATTAACCCAAGGTCTTATGAAATATGTGCACTTAGTATATGCTATACACTTTGTCTTCTTTTTTAATTTATTGTTTTCTAAAGTGACTGTCCGCCACACATGGACCCAAGAGGCTTATAAAAATGAACCTAGATTAATTTAATCCATTAGTTTAAAAGGAAAATAAGAGAAGGGGAGACAGATCCTACAATTATGTTAACAAGAGGAGCTTACTGTGTCCTATCAGATGATGACCCAGGTATATTTCTCCAGCCGCTTTAACTTGTTTTGATCATTTCAGAGAATGCATGCTGCATTGTAGATATCTGTCTGTCTGTCTTTGTCTGTCTATCTGTCTCTATCTATCCATCCATCCATCCATCTATACATTCATACAAACATACATATACACCCACACATATACACACATGTATGATGACATATATTTTTTTATTTATTTGGATCCTACCTTTGTTATTTTGACAAGCAACTCAAGGCAGCAAACATATCCAGCATACCTTCCTCCTCTTATTTCCCCTAGAACAATAATCCTGTAAGGTGAATTGGGCTGAGAGAATGACTGGCCCAAGGTCACCCAGCTGGCTTTCATGGTTAAGGCAGAACTAGAACTCCCAATCTCCAGCCTGATGCCTTACTCACTGGACCAAAGTGACTCTTTCTACAAGTTCTGCCTCATCCAAACTTCTCTAACTGAGTCCAGTTTGGTTCTTTGCCGTTTAGTGGCATTTTTAGGCTAAGTTCAGAAAAGGAGCAACCCTGTTCCTCTTCATGTTTTTATCCTCCTGTAGCAGTGAGTAATGCAGAAAGTAATGCAGAATATGCTAAATAATAATAATAATAATAATAATAATAATAATAATAATAATAATAATAATAATAATAATATGGACACCTTTATAAACAAACATGGGTTTTCATTTCTTTTTAGAGGTTGGTTTTTTTTCAAGAGAGCTGGTTATTATTATTATTGTTGTTATTATTATTTTATTATTGTTTGTTAAATTTATTTGCCATCTATCTACTCTAGGAAGCTTACAAAAATAAGAAAGAAAGAAAATGTCCCAAAGTCCCACATTTGATGTTTTTAGATTTCTAGAATATATAAAAAGAGGAGGCAAAGATGCAGGTCTTCAAGGTTTTTGGAACATC